GTATGTATGTATGTATGTATGTATGTATGTATGTATGTATGTATGTATGTATGTATGTATGTATGTAATGGCTTGAACTTATATAGTACCTTATCAAGTCCACTTGGACCCCAAGGCACTTTATATTTCAGACATTCACCCATTCACACACTGATGATGGTAAGCTACATTGTAGCCACAGCTGCCCTGGGGCACATATATATGCTCTAATAATTGAAACAGAGGTTCTGTTTCTACAATGATATTTTATAAGATGGTTTTGTTTATTTCAGGAAGTCGATGTAAAAAAAAAACACCTTTCCTGATGCATTTTATCAAGAGAAGCTTTGCATCAAAAATGTCTCCATCTCCACTCATCTGTTGTTCGGTCATGAAGGCAACAGGTCCAGGAGAGAAACCCGRCATCTATGGAAGAAATRCAGTGTCCTGTAAATTACGTATGTGTCTAACTTATTTTTAACGAGGGCCACATGAGCATCATGTTGGCCCTCAAAGGGCCACTTGTAATTAACTTTGACATTTAATGTTYAGCTAGCAAACAACTGAGCTYTACCTGGTATTTCCTGCATAGAAACAGCATTTTAACACATSCTCTTATAAGCACTGAAAAGAACTTATCGACATGCGTTACTGAGAATACGATCAATGCTGGCTTTAAAACAGCTTATTTTAAGACATTATTAATGTAGATTGTTAATAGAGTCCCTGAGACAACATATGTTGTGACTTGGCGCTATATAAAAAAAAATGAAGTGAATTGAATTGAATTAATGTTCTATCCAACTAAATTACTCAATTTAAAGCCAACAGTTCTTTATTTATTTTGTTGCATTTAATCATAAATTTACAGTTTGTCATTGATATAAAAAGATTTTCATATTAAGTAAAGGGGATGGATGAGCCCCTTGGYGGGCCAGACGGGAGTCACCCGTGGGCCATATTTGGCCTGCGGGCCTTGAGTTTGACACATATGTTTTTTTTTTTTTACTTCAAATTGGCCAGCAAAATTTCACCTCCAAATTTTGGCCTGAAAAAAATTAAACTGCAAAAATTTGCCTGCAAACCAACACCTGATTGAGCTGAGCGGCTTTTCAGTGATCAAATTACACTCCTTTGATTATGTGACATACCATGTGTAAGTGTGGTGAAGTGGATTTTATGTTAAAATGGCTTGCCATAACAGATGGGGGTGGGGGGGGGGCACACTAGCCGTCATGTCATCCTGTTCCATTAGATGAAAACATGAAACAGTTTCGTAATAATCTCTGCAAACCTCCTCACTCATCTTCAKTCAGCCACCAACCAGCTGACTGTTCAATAAATCACTTCTCTAAACAAAAAATAAATCTATGAACATAATTTTTAGACAGAAATTCAGCGTTATGAAATCAATGTCCAAAAAAACTCTGATTCCAATGAGTGACAATCTCCAGCTCCACCTGGGGGACCCCGAGGCGTCCCCAGACCTGAGAAGATCCACAATCCCTCCAGAGAGGTCTGCAGTGGAAACATTTAAAGCAAAAGTAAGACAAATTTATTTTAAAAACTATAGCATTTGTTTGTTACCTACAACAGTTTTTTTTTTTTTTTTGAGGTTTTAGTATAAAAATGAGAGCTGCAGGCCTCAGAGGGGTCACAGATCTGTGGGCAGATGTGGCCCAGGGCAGGAAATAAGCCGTGGATCTGGAGGCAAACAGCCACAGGAGGAGCAGCAGACCTGCTGAGCCCCCACAGCTCAGACTGACACATGAGAAGATTAGTCCATCGGTGCCAGTCACTCTGTGTGCACGAGCTTATTAATAGGCCAGCATCATCTCTGCTGCACTGCCCAATAAAGCAGTCATCCAGGCATCGATTCAGATGTGTACATCTTGTCAAGATAAATACGAATCAGCAGCAGCTTTGTTAGTGAAATCAGACGGGCGTCAGACATTATCCTGACAATCTACTCCCCCTCACAGGCAGGATTATTACTGCCTCCGTTTCACCARTCTCATCAGCCATTTGCCCTTTAACGCCGAGACGGCAGCGGGGATTAGAAGCACCTTTGTGGGTTTCTCTTTCTGCATTTTTAAGTTTCTCTTCTGCGAGCAAAAAAAATAAAAAAGCTTAGATGTCTTCACCCTGAGAGAACCCACAGCATTCACAGAAAAACTCGCCTAATCGTGAGCGTTTGCAGTTGGCTTTGTGTCCCTGGAAATGGTAGGAAGACAAAGATTTGACCCGGAGGAGGGGTGATGGAGAGCAGCAGACTCAGAGAGCGTCTCCTGACTGTTTTACTAAAAGCTACAGAGCGCCGGAGCAAATTGCATAAAGTCATGTGAGGATTGGTAATGAGAAGCAGTGTGTGACCGAGCTGAACTCGCTCACAAACAGGAAGTCCGGGGAGATTTTTGGCATTCCGCATTCACGSCGGAGTACACCGTTTCCTCTGGCGCCTTTTAAAACAGTCGGCTTTATGTTTATTATGTTTCCCAGCAGATYAACTCCCAAAAGTTGAAGA